GACTCAATGGTTAAGCGCTCCTGGGTTTAATCCCCTGTACCAAAAGGAAAAAAGGAGGGGGGGGGGGGGCAGTGTGGAGGGGCAGACATAGAAGTAGAGGACATTCAACATACAGTATTGAAATAGTAATAAAATAATAAAAAGGTTGGGGATATAGCTCAGTTGGAGAGCACTCCTGGGTTCAGTCCCCAGTACCACATACCCACAAAGAAAGAAAACATTGTCTTTATTAAAAACAGTGGGACGGGGCTAGACACTTGCCTAGCAACTGGGCTCGATCCTCAGCACTGCATAAAAATAAATAAATAAAATAAAGGCATTGTGTCCATCTACAACTAAAAAATATTTTAAGAAGAAGTGGGACTTAAATTTGACGGCTGGGACGTAAAACAGCAAGAGACCTTTTGAATTGGGATGTGGAGAAAGAGATTGACGGAAGTGCCTTTGATAATGAACTCTGAAAGACAAGAAGGGACAGAGACAAGTATTCGAGCATCTGGAACACAGATGCTAAGGTCTTAACGGGACAGTCATCAGTGTGTTCCAGGAGTCAGAGACACTCCCAGTGTGCAGCCTCCTCTGTGGCATGATATATGAAGAACCTTAACTGAGTTATCAAGTATGGTGTTTACCTTAGTGTTTACAATTCCGATTTTTTGCCAGTCATCTTTTTTTTGTTCCTGGAGATGGAACCCAGTAGTGTTTTACCACTGAGCCATATCCCCAACCCTTTTTAGTTTTTATTTTGAGACAGAGTCAGTGAGTTGCTTAGAACCTCACTAAATTGAATAAGTGGGCCTCGAACTTGCCTCGGCCTCTTAAATCACTGGGATTACAGGTACAGTGCCAGCCACTTTTTAAAATCTTGCTGTTGAGAGCAGGAGATATACATGTGTTAGGCAGAGAGGGTTAAGGGTCCCCCAGCCTGAGGAGCTTACAAATGAAGTAGACAGCTAGTAGCCAGTGATTCCAGAGCCTGAAGGAATCGTGAGCCAGTCCCTGTTCCAGCCAGAGTGGAGCATGATTGACATCCTGTTTATTGGGCAAATAAACACTAGGTGCCTGGTATGACTGGACTCAAAGACCCACTTCTTTAAAATCTCTAGCCTATGGTCTTCAAGGCCACCTAACTCCCCTCTAACCTTACCGTATAAACCCATCAACAACATTCACCCAGCAAAAACCTTGCCTCCCCTGCTAGAGTTTGGCTTTCTTTCTGTTACTTTAATAAATCCTGTTACTTTGCTTTCACCCTTCATAGCTACAGATTTCATTCTTCAAAATTAAAAGACAAAGAACCAACAAATCTGGTGTCTCACAGTGAGGTCTTGAGACTCAAGGTCAATAGTCTGAATGTTTCTGCCAGCATTTGAATCCCCCATTTCTACTGTCTCCCAATAAGTCCTAGCTTAGGTATGAAGACAGAGAAGAAAGTTGTGGCAGGTCGAGGCTGGCGAAAACACAGGCCTCTCCATTCACTCGCTCACTCACAGGTCCACTATTCAGCGCATTCATTTAGCACCCGCCTTGAGCCAGGTACTATTGAACTTACTGCAGAAGCTAAGGGAGTGAGCAAAGCAAAATTCCTGCCCTGTCAGAATGCAACATAAACTTGGGGGAAATAGTAGAGGTAGCATATTTAAGACCTGGAGTGAGCTCTTAAAAATACCTCTCTTCTCTACCAGAAAATAATTCGCAAAAATAATCTTGTAGCCAGACTTCATGTCACCCACCTGTAATCCCAACAACTCAGGAGGCTGAGGTGGAGGATCCCAAGTTCCAGACCAGCCTCAGCAACTTCAGAGAGAGAAAATAAAACATAAAAAGGGCTGGAGGCCTGGGGTTGTGGCTCAGTGGTAGAGCTCTCGCCTAGCATGTGCGAGGCATTGGGTTTGATTCTCAGCATCACATAAAAAAAATAAATAAATAAAATAAAGGTATTGTATCTAACTACAACTTAAAAAAAGGGGATGGTGCTGGGGTTGTAATGGTTAAGCACCTGTAGGTTCATTCCCCAGCACTACAAAAAGTATAATCATGTAAGAACCATATTTCATTTTGCTCTTTAGTTTTAAAATAATTAGCAATGATAAATTAATAAATTCTAATTTTTATTTTATTTTCTACCAGGGATTGAACCCAAAAGGGCTTAAGCATGGAGCCAAATCCCCAGCCCTTTTTGTTTTATAATTTTGAGACTGGGTGTGATAAATTGCTTAGGGCCTTGCTAAATTGCTGAGGTTGACTTTGAACTTGCGATCCTCCTACCTCAGCCTCTAGAGCTGTTAGGATTACAGGAGTGTGCCACTGTGCCTGGCTCTAAATTTTTTTGTGTGTGGCGGTGGTACTGGTGTTGGAGTAAACACAAGTCAGTGCATAGAAGGCGTAATGTTTCTGAAGGTGAGCTAAGAAAACTCCCAAGAATGTGTTGGAGGGAACAAGGAGGAGGGAAAATGGTGCCTTCTCTTATCTCCAGTATTTAGGTGGGGATCAAAGTAGAAGAAAAGTCATGTTCTTGGTTGTAAATTCATGTTCTCATAAAACACATGAAGAAACCCATAGGTGCAGTTGGCATGCAATCTATCCTGTATATGTTGTCCCCTGCTTCTAGGTGTGGGATGGACTTCCATTGTATCCTGGCCTGTTGCTGCTTAGGAGAGTGTGTATAATAAAATGCACAAACTAGCCAGGCATGGCGGTACACACCTGTAGGAGGCTGAGGTAGGAGGATCCTGAGTTCAAACCCAGCCTCAGCAACTTAGCAAGGCCCTAAGCAACTCAGGAGACCCTGTCTGTAAATAAAATACAAAAAAGAGCTGGGGATGTGGCTCAGCGGTTAAGCGCCCCTGGGTTCAATCTGGTTCAAAAAAAAAAAAACTTCTCTCCATTGAGCTCCATTGAGGCCACCAACTTCTTTGGTACTAGGGATTGAACCTAGGGGCACTTTACCACTGAGCTACCTCCGCATGCCCTTTTTTATTTTGAGACAGATCACTAAGTTGCTCAGAACCTTGCTAAATTGCTAAGGCTATCCTCAAACTTGTGATCCTCCTGCCTCAGCCTCTCAAGTCATTGAGTTTGCACACGTGAGCTACCATGCCTGGCCACCAAATTCTTACTTTGGGATTAGAAAACAGCCCACTAGGGTTTTTCCAGCGCTGGTGTTGAACAACTGGGGACTAAACCCAAGAGTGTTCTACCTCTGAGCTAAATCCACAGCCCTTTTTATTTTAAGACAGGATCTTGTTAAATTGCCCAGGCTGATCTGGAACTTGTTTGCCTCCTGCCTCAGTCTCTCAGGTAGCTGGGATTACAGCTATGCACCACCATGCCCAGCCTACAACCCTAAATATTTTTTTCTTTCCTAAATATCTTAATTTGTTGTATTTTCATTCTAGAATTGGGCCACGTTTCATTCCATAAAGCAGAATAAGTGTTTTGAAGGACTGAGCAGAAGAGGTTGGTTTTATAGACAGAGAAGGGCTGAAGAAAGCAGAAACAAAGAACAAAATGGACTGTTA